AAAGTGACTGAAGAAGTAAAGGGAGGAAGTTCTAGTGAGCCTATGCTTTTTGTCCTGAAAAATATTTTTGCATTTGCTAACTTGATAGCTATTGTGTGTTGTTTTTTAATTCATAGAAATACAATGCTGACTATGAATTGTCTGCAAAACAAGGTGCTGATACACTGGCATATATTGCACTACTTGAAGAGAAACTGCTTCCCGCTCTGGTAAATATCGGAAAATAATTTTATAGAGGGCAGAATTCTTGGAGGTGAATATTACAAGAGGTGCCCTATGAGTAAAATGTTAAAGTAACATCATAGTCCTGGCTGGAATGTGTTTGCTCTGCAAATCAAATTTAGGAACTATTGCCTAGCAACTTCTGAAATTGAGAAAAAGCAGAGTGGGTGAAGAATGTGATAGAAGCTTAATAATAACCAATTTATGATGGATTTTAAAATTGAACTTTGACTTTTTTGGTTTAGATGCTTTTTGCTAAGCAGTGTCATAAAAACAACCTACTCTGGCCATGTTTTTTTGTTTCACTTGATGCTTGCGAAAAACTTCTGAGTAACGTATGGTGTATGCGATACTGTCTGATCTGAGGTGTACTAACTGTAAAGACCTTTATAACTGTTTTATTGGAATTTTTGAGAAATTAAATTAGCCACTGGTAATTTTGTTCTTCGGTTCTAAATAGTACATGGCCACATGTCCTCAGCAATTTCATATGAGTATATTACTGGTATAAATATCCCCAGACTTTGGGTCTGCCTCTGTACTGGAGGTAAATGACTGCCTTCAGTTTGTACAGGAGTAATTATTCTCATCAGATGTGTCACAAGCCAGCCTCTTCAGCTGTTCTGCAGGGCTCATCACCTCCATAATTTATTTTAATTTTAAGATTTATGTAAAATTCCTAAAGAAAATTGAAAACATTTCAAACCTACTCCTATTGAACGTATGGTGTAGTATCAGACACTCTGGAAACCAGAACTTTTTTATTTATAGATGTATAAGTATTTAGATATAGTTTCTATTTACAGTGCGTGTGTATATATAAAGTATGTGTGTATATACACACACTCTCAATGTGTGAATGTAATTTTATGCATATATATGTCAATGTAATATCCCTGATTTATTTTTGTTTAGATATAAGGTAACTGGCTTTAATTGTATATGTCTACACTCAAAGTATTAATATAATCCAGTGTGGAACCAGATTGTTTTAAATTACAATTCCTTCTGCTTCTGTGGCTGAGATCTTACACATTAAAGAGAAATGTACTATTCTTATTCAAATTCCAGTCAGTTGTTCAGGTTCTTTGTGTTGATACAGCTGCATACATTCTGGGTCGAGGCAGAAAACTACTGCAGTGTGACAAAGCCATGGTTTGCCTCAAGAATTCCCTTCCCACTGAGTTTGTATCTGCCTGGAAGGATGTCCAGGGAAGCTCTTAACAGGATCTTGCTGACCAGGGGTGGTCCTCCACTCTACAGTCTCACTGAAGTGGAAGCACAGGTATGTGTCATGCAGTGAAGAATTTGGTGTATAAGTTGGTGCTGTCAAAGAGAGGAACTGAAAGAGGCTAACACACTGGCGAACAGTGAACGATGCTGTGCATACTAGCTAGCATTCTTAGACAGTTTTGTGTCTTATCAGATATACAGGGATGCCAAGGAATGCCTAAATCTCCTGTCGAAGAGACTGGGAACATCTCAGTTTTTCTTTGGAAATACGTGAGTGCACATTTTCTTTAATGACTAAGAAAACGGGTACTACATGACACAGTGAGCACTGAGGTTTGTTACCTCCAAATGCTAAAAAGTGTTGCACAGTGGTTTGTGCTTTGTGTTGTTTCAGATAAGATCTGAAGAGGGGACAGGGTGCAAATGAGATCTTTGGACTGATGAAATCAGTGCAGTGTGGCAGTATATTCTCTCTCATTCTGCATTTTCCTCATTAAGAGGCAGATGCTACCTACGGCTGCTCAGAGTATGTGGGGTGCTTGATGAATTAGTATAGCACTTGAGAATGCTTTTCTAATCACTGAATGTCACCTTCTGCACTTCCATATAGAAAAACACTTGAAGCCTGAGTTGGTGTTGGTGCCTTCCATGGGAAGAGGTGGGAGCACTCCTCTTCCTGTGGTACATGTGTAGAACAGAAAATGGATAGTGCCGCCAACATAACTCCAAGGGTCCCAAAAGGAGCATCTGTTGGGTGGACCATTGCATGGGAGAGGGCGTGGGAGAGGATTTGGTTCCCCTGGCATACAGCTTGTCTGCATGCTCTTTGTTGTGCTAGAAATGTGTTTTCAAGTGGCTTGTTTAGCAGTCTGTGAGAGCTCATGACGTGATGGAATTTTAAACCTGAAGTTACTGTTTCAGCTTGCCTCCCTGGCTCTTCTCTGGAGCCAGATATATATAATCCATAGATATTCTCTGCAAGGCTTTTAGCAGGTTGATGTGAAAAGATGGGATGCCTGAAGGGCTGACTGCATTCTCTCCAAAGTAGTCTTTGACATGTACAAAAAAGAGGTATGTGAGACAGGGTATTAAGACCACTATTAGTCACTCTGTTTTGTTTTGTTACTCTTTCAGGCCTTCTACCTTGGATGCCTTTGTGTTTGGTTTCCTTGCACCTCTTTATAAAGTGTGCTTCCCCAGAGTACAATTACAAGAGCATTTGAAACAGCTTCCCAATCTGTGTCGTTTCTGTGATGATATTTTAAGTTTCTACTTTAGGTTAGGTGTCTCAGGTAAGCTGTATTTCTTGTCCCCCTTTTGTCATGTGTACACAATTTAGGAGTGCTGGTTTCCACCTGTGAGCCAAGCCAGGAGTAGATTTTATTCAGTTCATGCTGGAATTTGTATGAATAAGAAATACTTTAAAGTTGCGCAAAAATGATTGTAAATTAAAACCTAAGTTTAATCCTTATTTTTAAAGCCTGTCAGGCAAAATGCACCTGTCTCTGTGCTATGGCTCACACTCAATATTTCTGTTTTTCTCTGGTGTGGAATGTCTTTTGCACTTAAATTCCTTTTTGAGGGGATAAAAATACTGTACGAATTTTATCTCCAATGAGTTCTTTTAAGAGATTTGAAAGCTTTTCTAAGAACCTTTTCACTCTTCATCTTTCTGCCTTACTCTCCAGGCCATTCTCCAGCTGGACAGGATTCAGTAGATGCTAATCTGCAGAAACTCACACAGCTTGTAAATAAGGAATCCAACTTGATTGAAAAGGTTACTTTTGCTTCAGTCTCTATTTTTCCTGCTTCTTTATGGTTTCTTGTTCGTGATATTCTTGCCAGCAACTTCAGCTCTACAATGGACATTTTTAATTGCTTCTTTTCTAGTGAGTTAGTTTGCATAGAGATACAGGAAAAATTATGTAATTTTAAAGGGATGATTAATGAGACCTTGTACTTTGGAAGTATTTTTATTACAATCAAAAGAACATTATCTTGAAACTGTGCATACTAAAAAAGGCTGAAATCTTTCAACAAGTGCACATATGAACAAAAAAAGAAGGCAAAGGTATTGATCAAAACTCAGAAATCGTCTTGCAAGCTAAAACCAATACCCAGCTTCCCTTGCCTCCAGTTGAATGCCCTAGGTACTTACCCATAGTTGTTCTTTGTCCTGTTTCTTCTACCTCTACCTTTTATTTCTTTGCGTTCTTTGTGTCCAAGACTGTCGCTCAGCACCTATGAAAAGCTCTGTAACTTGTGAGAAAAATACTTGCAAACAATTAGTCTGCTGACACAGGGGCAAAAATTTTGGCTAAAAGGACAGGCAACACTTCTGTTTGGAAAAGATCAGCCAATTGAATAGATGGATCATGAATTAGGAACAGTTTCTGTAGCATTAGATATTGTCTCTCTGTAGTATTGAAGTGTGGCTGTGGAAGTTTTAAAGAAGGGGTTACAGAAACATTTGTTAGGCATGGTTTACATAAAGCTAATCCCACCTTGAGGAAGCGGGATGGGCTAGATGACCTCTTGAGATGTTCCCTGTGCTGTCTTCTGTGATTCTGTTTATTGTATAGTAGTATTTATTTAATATCATACTGTGTGCAGTGCCTTAGAATGATACAGTAGGAAAATGAAGCATCCTTTTATTCAGAGATTAATTTTAACCTGTATTTGAGAAAACATTATCACAATCTCTTTATTATTTTCTGAGATCTCCAAGTTACCCAGATATCCCCAACTCCTTCAAATGTTTCGAATTTGAAAAAGATTCACTCCTGAAAGGTTCTGAGCTTGCAAAAGCATCTACTGATGTTAACAATTGGACTTCTGACCTGCTTTCTGGGAAAGTTTAATTATTCTTCAAAACCAAAACTTTGGTCTTTTAGAAGAAGACAGCCATGCTGCTTGCTTCAGCAAGGCCAAATGATCTGGGGAGAAGCACACTCATTTGCCCTGGATTTGATATCATAATGCTAATGAAATGAATAGCAGCTCTAACACAAACAGATATTTGGGAGTGAAAAGCAAGGCATCTCTCTCTCTCTCTTTTTTTTTTTTTTTTTTTTTTTTGGGCTAGGACTGAAAAAACAGGGTTAAAAAAAAAAAAAAAAGAGCCAGCATTCATTATTGGACCCACAACAAATAGACTAATCATATAATTTGTATTCTACTGTTTGCCAGATCCGGCTCTCGTTATTTCTCTGCAGATGGACGACAACCTTCGTAAGAGTCCTCAGCATCCTCCTCGAAAGCTAACAACGCTCAAGCTTGCTGCGGGTGGAGAAGAAAGCAACCTCCCAAGTCGTTTGTCACCTTGACAGCTTCTGTGGCCCATATGTGTGTGTTTGCCTTCAACTCTTCTGAACGTCACAGCAATTTTTTTCACATAATTACGGTTTGGTGAGGGAAAAATCTGCTAATAAGTACAAGTAGGGGGAAAAATCAGCTTTACAATCTCCTATATGCTTTTCCTTTTAGGAAAACACAAAATTCAGGCTTACAACACACCAAGCTGAGTCTAGAGTAAACAAGAAGCTTGTTCCTGCGGATGTTAAAGTGATTTTGTACGGCAAATGTTTGTCTTTATACTAGCAAAAACATTGACCAAAAGTTAAGTTTTCATTTATGGAGTGTTCAACTTTACCTTGTGGCTTTTGATTTTATTGTAATTATGTTATTTTATAGGTCAGCCATGTCACTGTGTGAGTGGTTATACTCTTGCATCCTTCTGCAAAAGTCCAAAGTTGTGGAAAAGATGGAAGAGAATGAATTGTTGCCTATCAGAGCAGATGAGATAGAAGGACAATAAGAGGATGTTAAACTTTTTTTTTTTATTGCGCTTCATGAACACTTTTGTGTCCTACGTTTTAAAGGTGCATGTATTTCTGAAAGCTCGTCACGTTGCACTTTGAGGAGAATGTTGAAAACTGTGTGTGCTGTGGGGAGTACTGTGATACTTGATACTAACGGTTCGCCACTGATACCCGAGTGAAAGAAGCTTAACCTGTGTCCTGAGTAACATTCCATGCTACAAAATCCATAAGTCTAAATCACAGAAAGGTCTGGTAGCAAGATGGAGAGGGTTGCTTTGTCTCATTGAGACAGGAGGCCTGTTCCTCTTATGAGACCGGCAGACACACTGCGGCTCTGGACTGGGATGGGCTGGTGAAAACTTTGTGAAAAAGACGATGGAGGCTTTTTAACTGTGTCACAGATGCCTCTAATTAGTTTTGTATTTTTGTAAGTGCTAAAGTTCATTAAAAAGATAAATGTCCAGATTTTTATTCCTGGTCAGTGTAGTCCAGAGTTCTTTTTTCTCAGTGAGTGTAATATATTTCTTTTATTTAATTAAGGGACTTAGTGTGTCTCATTACATTTCCTCTTAGCAGTTTGTCTTGGCTGTTCTATAGACCCAAACAGTTCTGTTGCAGAATAAATATTCCAAGTCTGTGTCGGTAATGTACTGGGAAGTGCTTCATGAGCCAGGTCATCGGAGTTAGTCAAGGAGATGAAGAGAATTCTGATGGATGAATGTATAGGATGACTCTCCTGGGTTTTGTTTATTATTATTTTTTCATTCCTTGGGTGAATCAAAACAGCCTTTCAACTTCCCTTCAGCTGCTGGTCACATTTGAGATCTACAGAATAAATTATTTGTTATTTAAACAGACAAGACTGTAGATTGTGTACATACTGTACTTCTACACTTGATATGTAAGGAATGTAATAAGATTATCTTTAACACTTCTGGATTATTATCAAAATTATGAGCACTTTACAATAAGGTTTATGCTTCCTGTTCTTCCTAGAATGTTTTTTTTAGTGATTAGAAATGGATCTAGCCCATGCTCATGATAATTGAATAAACTGACAGTCCAGTACATGCAAAAGAAAGTCAATTATTTGAATTTTTTGCTGCCTGTATCTTGACAAGGTTTAAATGAAATCATGTCACGTGGCTTTTCTAAGTCTTTTATTTGTTGAACACAGCTATGGGGGATATGCCTTAGTCTGTTGCTTTTGTGAATATGTACACAAAATGTACACAATATGTACACAATCTTTAAAATCTCTTTGTAAAGAGTTCATTACTCTGAGATTAAAACTTTGGATATTTAACAGACTTTTGGTAGCGTATTTCTTCTTAATAGATGCTTTTTGAGGGTTTAGCCATTTTTTTTTCTTAAGAAAGTTTCTCGACTGTAAAATAGCTCCGTAAAAAAAGGAATAAAAACACTTGACTGCTAGAACAAAAGATCAAAACTATTCAATGTATCTCTAATATCAGCTTTTAAATTTTATTTATTTATAAGCTTATTAATAACCTTATTATTTATAATCTTATTAATTATGCCTTAAGAGGCACTGCTCTCTTCTTTCAACTCAACTGTTTTTGTGCTTGTGTGTGTAGAAAACCTGTACTTGTCTGTTGAAAGTGGGGTGAGCTCTAACATCCCTGCTGTCAGAGAGGGATGTAGCATAAGCTTTTATGTACATGTTGTTATGGCAATTCTGTCTTTTGGTGAGCTGCTTGCAGGAATACGGCTAAAGAAGTAAGATGAAAAATGTTACGAAAGTTGCTGCAAGTATGGTCTGTTTAATATTTCTAAGTTATCTAAACAAATCTTTCTCCTTTCTGGAAGTGTGCTGGGATACCTTAGGCTTTAATATATACTTTTGCATTGGTAAAGTCATGCCGCTTTTGCTAATTTAGCTTAGCACTACAATAAGAAAATAACCCAACTGTATTTGATTCCTGGTTAAAACAGTTTCTGGACTGACTTAAATAGGTTACCTCTTTTACTTGGTGCTATTCTTGGCATTGCAGTAGGAACTGCTCATAATGCCTTTTTTCCTACCAAAAGCCAGACCCCTAGTCATCTGTTTCTGTTAACCTGACAGGCTCTGTGCTGTAGATCAGACCTGGCTGGTCTGTGCTGTTGTGGCAAGTTGTCCAAACCCTAACCTCATGCTTTATCATTCCCTGTTGCCTAACAAGGCCCTGCATTAAAAATAAATGGAATGATTTTAGCATCCTCCTCCACTCATCATTTCAGCCTGTTTTTAGTGGTTAGCCGATTCAGCGAAATACTCCGTGCTGCGGGGTGGTGCTCGGCAGTGCCTGTGAGGGGGCGAGGGCTGAGGTGCTGGCCGCAGCGCGGGGTCCCTCTGCACGCGGAGCCGCGGGCGGCCACAGGGAGCGCGGTCCTCCTGCACGACTGTCCTCCTGCGGCTCCACCCGCGGCCCCGCC